TCAAATAGTTTATAGGCTTTTGAATGGCAACTAGGGCTTTGTCAAGCTTGATATGCAGCGCTTTGATATTCTCTTCCACGCTTTGTTGTGTACTAGAGGCCTCACATCTGTTAGCTCTATCAAAGTCCTCTCCATAGGTGTCTTGGCTCATTGCTAAGTTCTCAATCCATAGCTGCGTTGATTTCTTTTGCCAAGAAATTCCCATTTGATGCTGTGTCCAACTGATTCCTGATCTTGGGAACAGCTCCTCTATACAAATTGCTAAGGATAGAGGCTTCTGAAAAGCCATGATGTGGACACTGATTTGTGTAGCTTCTAAACCTGTCCCAAGCTTCTCCAAAGGTTTCATTAGAAAGCTGAGTGACGCTTGAAATCTGGTTCCTTAGCTTGGCAGTCCTTGAAGTGGAGAATAACTTGGACAGAAATGCTTGCTTGCATTGTTCCCAAGTGTGGATTGAACCTGGAGGTAGATTCTTCTCCCACTGATGAGCTTTGTCTCCCAAGCTAAAAGGAAACAGCCTTAGCTTGAAACCATCTTCAGAGACTCCATTTATCTTAGTTAAGTTGCACACCTTATCAAACTACTCTAGATGATCAAAAGGATCTTCCATGGGGAGTCCATGAAATTTAGAGTTTTGAACCATGGTGAGTAGTGATGCCTTAACCTTAAAGTTGTTGGCTTCAACCGGCGGAACTTGAATTCCTGCACGATGCTGATGTGCATTGGCTTGGTCATTCTCTCCAACATAGACCGGTTGTGGCTGAAGACGTCTGGGTGGGTTTGGGTGGGGCTGTGGTGGATTAACCTGAGGTCGGTCTTGGTTCTGATTACCCTGAGCTTGTCCCTGATGGACCTGAGCTTGTTGAACCTGAATTCCAATCCCATTACCAGCTCTTTGGCCGTGGTCAGCTTCTTGAGCCTGATGCTCATTCCCAACTTGCTGATCCATTCCTAATCTTTCCAAGTGAACAGCTTTTTCTCTTTATCATAAACCTGAAAACAAAGACAGAACTTGAAAGGTGATCAGTAAAACAAAAGAAACTTGATCTCAAAAACTATATCAGAAACTAATGCTAACAATCCCCACACAATATGGCAATGGCGCCAATTAATAACTAAGAATTTTTTAGGTTCTTAAAGGGTTATCAATCCATTTACTGTTGCAGCATAAAGGGTATCAATCCAAATGTGTGGTAGTTAGGAACTAGTTTATGTGACAAGTTCTCAAGTCAAGTGAGACGAGAAAGATTTTTGGTGACAAGAAACAAGAAAGCATAAAACAAGAAACAAGCAAAGCAAGATGATTAATTACTAAACAAGCAAGCAAACAAACAAGATGATGATCAAGCAAATGATGAAAGATAAACCTCTAGATATGATAATTGATTAGGTCGCTTTAGATATTGATTCATGATACTAAGAACATAATGCAATACTTGTTACTCTTTAGTCTAGTGATATATCATGGTTTTTATGGTTTTTAACCATGGTGTATGTCTTATTTATAGAGTCTTTTTAGTGTCTTTCGAGTCTTTTGGAGTCTTTTCAGGTCATAGGTACGTTTGGAGCTTAACTGGAGACTTTGGAGCACTTTGGAGCTTAATCAGGATCAAATTCGTCAAGTATGGATTTTGTGCTTTAGTGACGCTCGACACCATGGAGAGTGACGCGCGACACTTGTTAGAGAAATAAGGAAAAGGCGATTTTGTTTCCTATTTGAAGAAGGAGTTGGGCCCAAACGTTTTCAAGGAAGCCCAAAGCGTGTCTTAGAGATATATATAGGATTTTTATTCCCTTTTTACGTTAACCTTAGATTTTCTTAGAGAGAGTTTTTGTTTTTGAGAGTTTTTGGGGAGACAAGTCTGAAACTCTGTTCCGGAGAGAGAAGATTTCGAACCCCTGTTTATTAATCTATTTACTGCTTACTGCAAGTTATTCAATCATGCTTATTGCTTCAATCTCCATGTCTGAGTAGTTTGCTTGTTAGGTTTAGGGTTCTCATAAAGGATTTCATTGGATGTTAGATTGATTGGTTAGTTAGGGTTCATAATCTATTTAGTTCTTCACCATAGGTTGTTCTTAAAGCTAATTCTGGATTGGCCACCTAGAACTTAGATCTTAGGTTGCTTAATTGACACGGAAGTGTAATTGAATAACTGGAAAGAACCTAGGGTGAGCAAAGTAGCTATTCACAAAGGAATTTGGTTTAGATACTTTGTGAACATATCGAACTTGAGCATTAAAGCTGGTTTAAATCTTTAGGGTTTGCAAAGGAATTTGGAATTCTAGGATTTTGACTTAGATAATTCTCACAACGGAAGTTGGTTAATTATAATTCTGTGATTCGAGTTCAAGAACTGTGCTTAAACCTGAACCCTGACTAATCGATTGATCTGCATGCATTGATTTCCTGAGAAACTCCCTAAGCCTAATCTCCATCCATCTGAATCTTACAAACCGTTTTTATTGCTGCTTAGTCTAATTCTGTTGCATTGCTATTTATTTACAATATTTCTGCTAAGCGTAATTCAATCTCTATAAGGTTTATTGAGTGATCTCTTGTCTCTGTGGTTCGACCCCTACATACTACAACTGCACATCTATGCTCTTGCAGAGTAGCTTAGGGATTAAACTTTGAGCATATCAAGTTTTGGCGCCGTTGCCAGGGACTTGATTTCGCCATTAAACCTAGTTTTTGAGTTTCGACTAAGTTTTTCGACTTAGTGTCGAGCGATACCACTTGTGGTGTCGCGCGACACCTTCTTTTCTTTAACCTAGTTTACTTATTTTCGTTTTCTCTCTTTGTTTTTGGTGTTTCAGGTTTATGCATACTCGTGGAACTAGGAGCAACAAGGACATCCCGCTAGTGAATTTGAGCAACGAACAGCTAGCTGAGTTAGAGCGAACGAGGCGGAAAGCAAGAGATCCGGCAATGATGGAAAACGCCAATGGACTTGTTCGTGATGATGATGGAACCTGGAGAGACCGAGAGGGTCATCTGTGCAATGCGAGAGGCCAAAGGATTGATGGAGATGGTAACATCATTCCACCAGCTCCTTTACCAGTGGATGTTGTTGACCAGAATCCACCACCTGCACCGCGTGGTAATGCTGTGATCGTTCCACATCAGAGGAACGCTCCAGAAGATCGGAATGTAAGGGAACCTGCACCTGCAGCTGGACATGGACGAACACTTGGAGACTACAACAGGCCTGAGCAGTTCTATGCAAATCGTTCTGCGATTCGTGTCCTGCGTTTCAAAGGAACGATTTTGAGCTGAAGCCTGTGTACTACACTCTTGTGGGTCAGCATCCTTTCCATGGCCACTCTCATGAGCACCCTATGGATCACATCGAGAGGTTTGAGAATTTGGTCACCAGCATCAAATACAATGGAGTGTCCAATGATTTCCTCCTCTGCAAGCTGTTTCCTTACTCTCTTGCTGGTGAAGCAGCTAACTGGTTGAAGCAGTTGGAGCCAGGATCACTCACCACTTGGGAGGAGACCAGGAACGCCTTCCTGCACAACTTCTTCGACGATGCTAGGTCTGAGGAGTTGAGGACTAAGATCTCGACTTTCTCTCAGGACCCTACTGAAGCGTTCAAGGCTTCTTGGGTGCGATACAAATCGTACCAGCGAGACTGCCCTCACCATGGCTTCAGCGATGTGCAGTTGCTGGGTATCTTTTTCAGAGGTATCGACTGGAGGTATCAGATGGCGCTTGATGCAGCAAGCAATGGGAACTTCAACACCAGATACCCAGACGAAGCTGTTGAGCTCATCGAAAACTTGGCATCCAGCAATAGCACCAAGAATGCAGATCTAGAGCGAAAGAAGCAAGCTGGGAACATGGATAGATCGCAGATCGCTGAGGTGAAAGCTAAACTTTGATTCTGTGCACAGCCTTTTAGTGGGTAAGAAATCTGTCAGATTCGCACAGGAGGTGGAGAGTTTCGAACCTGAGGATGCAGCTGAGGAAGAGGATGTCAACTTTGTCAGTGGATCAGGATTTCAGGGTCAGAGGTTTGGTAATCAGCAAGGTAACAGAAGCTACAGTGGAAATTACAGTGGAAATTACAGTGGAAACAATCAGAGGAATACCTTCAACAGTAATCAGAACTTCTCTGGTTACACGCCTAAGCCTCAGTACCAGAAACCTTTTTCGAGCAACAGTTTTTCCAGAAACTACAGCACTCCTTCATCTCAACCTCAAAATCCTGACAATGAGATGAAGTCTATGCTGGAACAGATTCTGGAAGGTCAGCAGAAGCTCACCGTGGACTTTAATGGGAAGATGGATGCTCTCTACCTCGATCTGAATGGAAAAATCGAAGTTCTGAACACCCATGTCAAGCAGCTCGATACACAGGTAGCCCAAACTGCAGGTTCTGTTAAAAGGCAAGAGGGTTTTCTTCCTGGGAAGACTGACACCAATCCAAGGCATCACTGCAGTGCTATCACGTTGAGGAGTGGTAAAAATCTGAGTTCTGAGCCCACGAAGACGCCTCCTGCACCTGAAGTCGTGGACTTAGAAGATTCTGAAGAAATTCCTGAGATTGCAGAGCCGGTGACGAGCGACACCACCACTAGTGTCGCGCGTCACCAACTGCAGAGCGAAGCTGTTGATGCTCCGAATCCGAAATCTGCAGAGGAGAAAGTCTACAAACCTAAAGTTCCTTACCCAAGGAGCCCTAGGAAGTCCAAGCAAGAGCTTGATGATGCACGATGCAAAGCTTTGATGGAAAAGCTTGTGATTGAGATACCTTTGGTTGATGCTGTAAAAATCACTCCTGTTATCAGACGTTATGTGAAGCGAATGGTAACCAATAATCTCAGCCATGAACAGGGAGTGATGATGATATCTGAGCAAGTCAGTGCAGTGATTTAGAACCGAATTCCAGAGAAGCTGTCTGATCCAGGAAGCTTTGTCTTGGATTGCTCTATCTTCACAGAGAGATTCAAGAGATCGCTGTGTGATCTGGGTTCAAGTGTTAACCTCATGCCTTATTCGGTAGCTGTCAATCTCGGCATGACTGATTTCAAGCCAACAAGGATATCTCTCATCCTAGCTGATCGTTCGACAAGGATACCTGAAGGGGTGCTAGAGGATGTTCCAATCAAGGTTGGAGACTGCATGATACCGACTGATTTTGTGGTTTTGGAGTATGGAGAGGAGCCTAAAGATCCTCTTATCCTTGGGAGACCTTTTCTAGCTACAGCAGGTGCTATCATCGATGTCAGGAAAGGCAGGATTGCTCTGAATGTTGGAGATCTGGTGATGAACTTTGACATGGACAAGCTGATGAAGAAGCCCACCATCGATGGTCAGACCTTCTATGTCGATACTCTCACAGAGTTTGCTGAGGAGTTTCTCCATGAGATGCTGCCTACAGACCCACTTGAGAGAGCTCTGACCACGTTTGCCTCTGAGGCCGAACACTTGGACGAAATTTCAGCGTCTTACTCAAAGATGTTGGACTCCAGCGAGCATGCGATGCAGCTGGCATCGCAGGTTGAACAGCTTGAGACTCCTGCGAAGGTGAAGCAGTTATCCGACTGGAGTGAGGAGAAAGCCCCTAAGATTGAGTTCAAACAACTCCCTGCAGGACTAAGGTACGCATTCCTGGGCTCTAATTCTACTTATCCAGTCATTATCGATTCTTCTTTGAACAATACTGAGGTTACCTTACTACTGAGCAAGCTGCGCAAGCATCGCAAAGCTTTTGGCTATTCTCTTGATGATATTTCAGGTATCTCACCAGAATTGTGCATGCACCGAATCCACCTGGAGGATGAGTCGAAGTCGTCGATTGAGCACCAGCGCAGGTTGAACCCTAACCTGAAAGACGTCGTCAAAAAGGAGATCATGAAGCTGCTGGAAGCTGGAATCATCTATCCAATTTCAGATAGTGCCTGGGTGAGTCCTGTGCACGTAGTTCCTAAGAAAGGAGGGGTTACTGTTGTGAAGAATGACAAGGATGAGTTGATTCCGACGCGCACAGTGACTGGACACAGGATGTGCATGGATTTGATATGTTCATAATTTGCATCATTTAGGTTGCATAAATCATCCCAAATCATGTTTTATTTCATGCATTTTAGGTCCTTAGGGTTTATTTTAGAACTTAGGAGATGCATTAGGTCCAAATGAGTCTTTGCATATTTTGAGTGTCTGTCAGGTGAATATGGAACTGAAAAGATGAATCCAGGAGGTGGAATGGTGAGCAAAGCTTGAAAAAGTGGAAAAATCAGGTCTTGGGAGATTATCGGCCATTCTCGCTGGCCAGGAAGGTTTTACCGGCCATTTTCATGTACCGCGGTAAGCTTTACCGGCCATTTTCACGTACCGCGAATGAAGTGTATCGGCCAAAATCTCCGGGTGTGAACGAGTCTCAGAAATCGCCCGTCCGGGGAGCCTTCCGGTCCGATTCAGACGGCGGGTCCTTCATAGAAGTTGGAGAGAATTGGAGGACGGTCTCATAGCAATTGGAATCGTGGAATTCGGACGCGTGAGCAGAGAGATAAGCTCGTCGGAAGAAACCCCTGTCTCGCAGGTATTCCGGACCGAGCAGATCAGTTCTGAAGGATGCGAAGGACGGTGCACTTCCAGACCGATTCAGTTTCCGCGGCCTTCATGAGAATCAGAGACATTTGAGTCTTCTTTCCAGAACAACCGAGATCAGTCAATTCGGAGCTTTGAGCAGAAAGATACGGTCTCCGGAATGGACACATGTCTAGACGCTTCTCTCTGGTCGTGTAAATGCACTTCAAAGATGTTCCCTCCAGGAAACCTTACACTTCCCAAGCACTGAAACTTCCTTCATCAAAGTTGGAGATACATGAGTCCTCTGTCTTCTGAAACCGGAATCACTCAATTCGGACAGGTCTCCAGGAAGTTACACTCTCCGGAATGCGAGATGGTCCAGACAGCCCAGGATGACTAAGTTAAACATGCCACGGTATGAAGCTTGGCCGTGGCAACATCTTGCAACCTTCGGCGATTGGCACGAGCTGAATGCCACGGTCTAGGACTTGACCGTGGCAAATGAACAAGAGGCTGGAGATAACTTCTACACAGTTTCGGCTTTTGACACGATCTCAATGCCACGGCCTGAGACTTGGCCGTGGCAAGCATATACTTGGCTGGGAAGGTCCTCACATGCATGCGAGTTTTGGCACGGTGTGAATGCCACGGTCTGGAGGCTTGACCGTGGCAACCTCTACACATCTTCGGCGTTTGACACGGCTAACTTGCCACGAGTCCCAGATGAAGCTTGATCAGACCGCGGCAACAAAAGGAACCAAGAACACAAGTAAAAACTTTGACACGGTCAGGAATGCCACGGTCACACCAAGGATGCACCAGACCGTGGCAAACCCTTCTTTGCCCATCAAGGCCGGGTCAGTACCCGGTTTGTTCCGGGTTGACCCGGTTCGCCCAAGCTTCTTTTATAAGGTTTTTAGACCTAATTTGTGGAGAGACTTAATCTACTTTTAGTCTTTTTTTCCCCTTTTGTGAAAGAAACCACTTAATACACTTTGTTTTAGAGAGTTTAAATCGATTTGCAGTTTCTTTCCATCTTGTTCATCATTTCTATTCATCAAAATCAACTTCTAATCATGATTAACAACACATCTTGCAAAGGATCTAGTGTGTTGATCATGATTAGTGAGTAGTTACCTTAATGAGGTTCTAGATGTGTAGGTTAGGGTGCTAAAGTGTTAGATTAGGAGTGCTTAGGGCTAGATTCATTGGTTCATTTCTCTAAACAACTGTTCTCTATGCTAGATCCTTGATAATCACTTGAGATCTAGATTCTGGGAATTTCATGCACCAAAAGTGTTTGATGAAATTCCTGAAAGAGTTGTGTTAGAGGTTTAAGTAATTTTTCATCATGGGAATGATTTGTTAAATGCTTGAATGATCATTGAGAACTGTTTATTAATGCATATTGATTCATATTTCACAAATGGGAATTTGGTTTGAAAATGGATTAGTATAGGGGGTTAATACCTTCATGAGAGGATTAACATAGATTAGAGTTCTTAATCACTTGAATCATGTCACATCATTGTCATTAGCATTCCTAGTTTAACACCAAAGCACCCTAACCATCTATCATGTCTAGAATCTCATGCCTCCATCATATCTTATTCACACCATTTGTCATTGTCATTAGTTTTTAATCCTGTTTATGTTTATATTTGTCTCTAGATTAATCAAAACCCACTCTTGTTTGCTTGAATTAAGAACTTGATCATATAGCTTAGTGTCTAACACCATATCTGGATTGATAAACCTCTTTGTGCTACATTGACAAGGGGATTGATAGCCCTGAGACCCTAAAAGTCTTGTCTATCAATTGGCGCCGTTGCCAAATTGTGGTTTGATTAGCATTAAGCTCTGATCTGTTCTTGAGATCAAGTGCTTACTTTCTTGTTTTTACTGATTCCTTTCAAGTTCTGTTTGTGATTTCAGGTGTATGAACACCAGGTCTAGATCAAGAAGCTGTGGTCCTCCTTTTCCTCTAAACGACAACATCAACCTTTTGGTACCAAGGAGGAGAAGAGACAGACGTGGTAGACAAATTGATCAGACTGAGATGGCAGAACAAAGAGATCACGTGGTAGATATAGAACAACCGGTTCAAGAGCAACAGGCTCAGGGTAATAGAGCTGGTAATGGAGTTGGTCAAGGGCTTCACCAGGGTAATGTTCAGCAGGAACAGGTGCACCATCAACAAGCTTATGTCCACCAGGGACAAGCTCAAGCTCATCAACAGAGGCATCAGGCCAATGTTCAGCAAAGACACCAGGTGCACCACCAACCCCACCCTTTCCAACCACAACAAAGAAGATATGAGCAACCCCAAGTCTATGTTGGAGAGAATGACAGGGCCAATGCTCATCAGTATGGAGCTGGTATTCAGGCACCACCTGTGCAAAACAACAACTTTGAAGTGAAAGCATCATTGCTGAATATGGTCCAGAACTCAAAGTTCCATGGGTTAGCAATGGAAGATCCCTTGGAACACTTGGACCAGTTTGATAAGGTGTGCGATCTGACCAAGATAAATGGAGTTTCAGAAGACAGCTTCAAGCTAAGACTATTCCCATTCAGTCTTGGTGATAAAGCTCATCAATGGGAGAAGAATCTTCCAAGAGGATCCATTCAAACCTGGGAGCAATGCAAGCAAGCCTTCTTATCTAAGTTCTTCTCCACCTCAAGAACTGCAAAACTGAGGAACCAAATCTCTAGCTTCACTCAGCACAGCAATGAAAGTTTTGGTGAAGCATATGAGAGATTCAGGAGCTACACAAACCAATGCCCACACCATGGGTTTAGTGAGGCTTCTCTTCTCAGCACACTGTATAGGGGAGCTCTTCCCAAGATTAGAAACCAGCTGGATACTGCATCCAATGGGAACTTTCTGGGTAAAGAGATACATGCTGCTTTAGAGCTAGTAGAGAACTTAGCATTGAGCAATGACACTTATGGTGAAGACTATGACAGATCAAATAGGTCTGAAGGTTCAAGCTCAGAACAGAGGCTCACCAGAGAAGTTAAGGAGTTGAGGAGTGAATTGGACAAGCTGAAATTCACCACTCAGAAGCCAATGCATTTTGTTGGAGAGTATGAGGAACCTTCTCAAATTTTTGAGAACATAAGTGAAGAAGGTCTTACCCAAGAGGAGCTCAACTACATTGGGAATCAGAGGTTCCAAAGATATCAGTATGGTAATGCCAATCCAAACCTCTCTTACAGGAACACCAATGTAGCTAACCCACAAGACCAGGTCTATCCCAATTCTCAAGCTCCAAAGAACTTTGTTCCCAAGAACAACTTTCAAGGGTCATTCCAACCCAAGAATCAATTTGGTCAGAATCAGAGTTTTGGTCAGCAACAGCAACCATTTCAGGGCACTGGTTACACTTCACAGCAGCCAAAGGCACCACCAGGATTTGGTCCACCACAGTTCCAACAGCAGGCGCCGGTTCAACAACAGTTTCAGCCACCAATGGTCCAACAGCAGCCACCGATGGGTACAGATATGGTTGGTATTCTGCAACAACTTCTTCAGGGTCAACAGACTATGCAGCAGGAAATCAAGGAACTGAAGCAAAACCAGGCATCAAGCTCAAGGAACCAAGGTCACCTACCTGGAAAACCAGAACCCAACCCCAAGGAATATGCCAAAGCAATTACACTGAGGAGTGGCAAGGAATTACCTGGTATTGAGAACAACAAAGTGATCATTGAGGACAATGATCAACCTGAGGGGGAGGCAGCCTTAAAGGATGATCAAGTTGCTGAGAAACCAAGGACAGAAAAAGGTAAAGAGGTAGCAAAGGAACCAGAACCAGAGAAGAAGTATGTGCCACCACCTCCATACCAACCCAAGCTCCCATTTCCAGGGAGATTTAAGAAGCAACTAGTGAACAAGGCAAGAGCTGTATTTGAGAAGGCACTCAAAGAGACACCACTCACAATGCCTCTCATTGATGCATTCCTAATGATGCCAAAGATGGGGAAGTTCTTGAAGGATGCAATTCTGAACAAGACAAAAGAGCTTCAAGGCATGGTAGTACTAAGTCATGAATGCAGTGCTATCATTCAGAAGAAGTCCATTCCAAGGAAGTTAACTGATCCAGGGAGCTTCACACTCCCTTGTGCCATTGGACCTCTTCTATTCTCTGGATGTCTTTGTGATTTAGGAGCATCAGTCAGCTTGATGCCATTCTCCATAGCTAAGAAGTTGGGCTTTAGAGTTTTCAAACCCTCAAGGATTTCTCTTATCCTTGCAGATAGATCAGTTAGATTGCCTGTTGGTATGTTGGAAGATCTACCTGTCAAGATAGGTGGTTTTGAGGTTCCAACAGATTTTGTTGTGCTGGAAATGGATGAGGAACCAGTAGATCCTCTCATCTTGGGCAGGCCATTCTTAGCAACTGCAGGAGCCATCATTGATGTGAGAGGTGGGATAATAGAGCTTCAACTTGGGTCTGAAAGGCTCAAGTTTGATGTGAATGAGATGATGAAGAAACCCACCATTGAAGGTCAATGTTTCTATGTGGAGACAATGGACCAGTTGGCTGATGAGTTGCTTGAGGAACTGAACACTGAGGATCCTCTTCAAGCTGCTCTAACTCAAGAACAAGGAGAGAGTGAGCTCTTGGCTGAAGCAAGTGAAGGGTATAAGCTGTATCTGGACAATGCAAGAGAGCTGGGTCCTGAAACAAGGTTTTTGGAGCTGGAACAAAGAGGCTCTGAAGTCTTTGCTATCAAGGAATCAGTCACCAGCCAAAGCAACCTGGACCAGGACTGGAATGAGGCGGATGCACCCTCTGTTGAGCTCAAGCCTCTACCAACAGGGCTCAGGTATGCATTCTTAGGCCTAAACTCTACTTTTCCCGTGATCATAAATGATAACTTGCTGGAGCATGAGGAACGTGCATTACTTAGTGAAATAAGGAAATTCAGGAGAGCCATAGGGTATTCCTTGGCAGATATTAGAGGAATCTCTCCTGATATATGCACCCACAGGATCCACCTGGAGGACCAAGCCATGTCCTCTATTGAGCACCAACGTAGACTTAACCCCAACCTTAGGGAAGTGGTTAAGAAGGAGATACTAAAGCTTCTTGAGGCAGGGATAATTTACCCAATCTCTGACTCAAGATGGGTGTCTCCTGTTCACGTTGTGCCCAAGAAAGGTGGGATCACAGTGGTGAAAAACGATAAGGATGAACTCATAGCTCAAAGAACCATAACTGGCCATCGCATGTGCATTGACTATAGGAAATTGAATTCTGCTTCTAGAAAAGATCATTTCCCTTTACCATTCATTGATCAAATGCTTGAAAGGTTAGCTAATCATCCTTATTTTTGTTTTCTCGATGGGTACTCTGGATTTTTTCAAATTCCCATAGATCCAAGAGATCAAGAGAAAACAACATTCACATGTCCTTATGGCACTTATGCTTATAGGAGAATGCCCTTTGGTTTATGTAATGCACCAGCCACTTTTCAAAGATGTATGATGCACATTTTCTCTGACATTATTGAAGAGAAAGTTGAGGTGTTCATGGATGACTTTAGTGTCTATGGCTCCTCCTTCTCGGATTGTCTCTCTAATTTGACACAGGTGTTGGAGAGATGTGAGCAGCACAACTTGGTGCTGAACTGGGAGAAGTGTCATTTCATGGTGCAAGAAGGAATAGTCCTTGGGCACAAGGTCTCTGAAAAGGGTATTGAGGTTGATAAGGCAAAGGTGGAGGTGATGGTGAATTTGCAAACCCCCACTTCAGTTAAAGGGATAAGGAGCTTCCTGGGTCATGCAGGGTTTTATAGAAGATTCATAAAGGACTTCTCAAGGATTGCCAGGCCCTTAACAAGACTGTTGTGTAAGGAAGTGGATTTCATCTTTGATGCTGAATGTGGAGAAGCCTTCAAGTTGATCAAGGAGGCATTGGTTAGTGCACCAATAGTTCAGGCACCGGACTGGTCTCTACCTTTTGAGGTCATGACAGATGCTTCTGACTTTGCTGTTGGAGCAGTACTTGGACAAAAGAAAGACAAGAAGCTGCATGTGATCTACTATGCCAGTAGAACACTTGACTCTGCCCAAGAAAAGTATGCTACAACTGAAAAGGAAATGCTGGCAATAGTTTTTGCCTTTGATAAGTTCAGAAGCTACCTGGTGGGATCAAAGGTCATTGTGTATACCGATCATGCAGCCCTCAGGTACTTGATGACCAAGAAAGATGCCAAGCCAAGGCTGTTGAGATGGGTTTTATTGCTCCAGGAGTTTGATATGGAGGTGCTTGATAAGAAGGGCATTGAGAATGGGGCTGCAGACCATCTCTCAAGGCTGAGGATTGAAGAAAAAGTTCCCATAGATGATACTTTGCCTGAAGAGTCTCTGATGGTGCTCCATTCATACTTGGATTTTGAGGAAGTAGAGAGCATTCAAGAAAGGAGGATGCCTTGGTTTGCAGACATAGTGAACTATCTTGCATGTGGGGTGGAGCCTCCTGAATTAGATGCCTACAAGAGGAAAAAGTTCTTCAGAGATGTCCAGAGATACTATTGGGATGAGCCCTACCTCTATGTTCTGAACAAGGATCAGCTTTACAGAAGGTGTCTTGCTGAAGAGGAGATGCAACCTGTGTTGCAAGAATGTCATGGTTCTGCCTTTGGAGGTCACATGGGGGCATTCAAAACTGTGGCAAAGGTTCTTCAGAGTGGGTTTTGGGGGCCTACAATGTTCAAAGATGCCCAGTTGGTGGTTTCAGCATGTGATGCCTGTCAGAGGCATGGGAACATATCTAAGAGAAGTGAGATGCCTCAAAACCCCATTCTAGAGGTTGAGATCTTTGATTGCTGGGGGATTGACTTTATGGGACCTTTCATTTCATCTTATGGAAATCAATACATACTTGTTGCTGTGGACTATGTGTCCAAATGGGTTGAGGCCATTGCTTCCCCTACCAATGATTCCAAGGTTGTAGTGAGGCTGTTCAAGAACATCATCTTCCCAAGGTTTGGAGTTCCCAGGGTTGTCATCTCTGATGGAGGATCCCATTTTGTGAACAAGACTCTGGAAGGTTTATTGAGAAAGTATGGAGTTAAACATAAGATAGCTACTCCATATCATCCTCAAACTAGTGGCCAGGTTGAAGTATCCAATAGACAGATCAAGGCCATTCTTGAGAGGACTGTTAGCTCAAGCAGAAAGGATTGGAGCAAAAGGCTAGATGATGCATTATGGGCTTACAGGACTGCCTTCAAAACTCCAATTGGAACATCACCATTCAGTTTGCTATATGGGAAGAGCTGCCACCTTCCTATTGAGTTGGAGTACAAAGCTATGTGGGCTGTGAAGTTTATAAACTTTGATATCAAGACAGCTCAAGAGAAAAGGATCATGCAACTCCATGAACTTGAGGAAATCAGGCTTGAAGCTTTTGAAAGCTCAAAAATCTATAAGGAGAAGACCAAGGCCCTGCATGACCAGAAGATTCTAAAAAGGGAGTTCAAGAATGGTGATTTGGTGTTGCTTTTCAACTCTAGACTTAAGTTGTTTCCAGGAAAGCTTAAGTCTAGGTGGTCTGGACCTTTCAAAGTTCTTGAAGTAAGGCCTTATGGTGCCATTGTCTTAGAAGGGAAGAATGGTCAGGAATTTGTGGTGAATGGACAGAGAATCAAGCACTACTTAGTTTCACAAGGGAAGGAGGAAGCTACATCAGTTCCCCTTCTTGATCCACCAGCCTGTTAATCAGGTTACCAAAGTCAAACTTAGAGACATTAAACAAAGTGCTCTTGGGAGACACCCCAAGCTTACCCTTTGTAAATATGCTTTTGATCTTTTGATTCTTTTCTTTTTATGTTTTAGAATGTTTTGATGGGTCTGTTGAGTGTTTACAGGTGTTAGGTGTGAGTCTGAACCTTTGGAAAGTGAATGCAGCATGAAAAGAAATGAAGGAATGAAGAATGCCACGGTAAAGAACAAGGCGTGGCAAGCCCCTTTCTGTTGCCACGGAGAGATAATCACGGTCTAAAGGCCTGGCCGTGGCAAAAGAAGCATATGTTCGGCGAATGCCACGGTCTTGTGACATGGAACCTAGGCGGCCGTGGCAAAGGAAAAAGAAGAATGGATGAGGCTCGGAGTTTGCCACGGTTGGGGTTGCCACGGGATGAATCTTAGGCCGTGGCAAAATGCAGGGGGAATGTCCAATGCCCGGGGTTTGCCACGAGAGGAGTGCCACGGGATGAAGACCTGGCCGTGGCTAAGCAAAAGCGAAGCGGCCAAGGTTCGTGGGATGACACGTTCTACAAGACACGAGTCCAAGATGTGGCCGTGGCAAAGCAAATGGTGCACAACCCCGGTTCGGCCTTTGCCACGGTAGTAATGACACAGGAAGAAAATGTGACCGTGGCAAAAAGAGAAGTGAATCGGCCAATGTTCGGACAATGCCACGGTCTAAAGGACACGGGCTAAGGCTTTGGCCGCGGCAAAAAATCAGGAGAGTTTGACCGACGAATAAGCACGGCCACGAGGAGTTTGCCACGGGAAATGATCAGATCGTGGCAAGAGAAAGGAAAAGAGACGAGGTTCGGCCTTTGCCACGGTCTAGTTGCCACGGCCACACCAAGACCGCGGCAAAGAGGAAGCGTTCTCGAGCTGAAGCCACGACCACATGCCACGGTCAACCAGGCGCGACCAAAAATTTGAATTTTGGTTGACCGTACGGACGTTGACCGGTCAACCCACGCGCCAAGCCAGCTGTTTCCCACCACTCCCCCTTCTACATCGAGAGTTTGCACCTTCCTTTCCATTCTTGAACTCTAAACTCTCATATCTCTCTCGTTGCTGCATCAAATTGAGTGATTCCAACTGCATTGAACTCGTAATCCTGTCTAGTTTCTTGTTGCACATCCGTTTTACACTCGAAACTTGAAGATTCCAAGGTATTTAATCTGTTAAAACTCACCTTTTCCATGCTTTAGTGTACTGTTCATGAACAGAGAAAAGCAAATGGAATCGATTTTAATGGACTTCTTGATACCTTGGAATCATTTTGTGAGTATTGTGCAAGTAGAATGGATAGGGATTTCATGAATCTTGCTTGAGAATGACCTGTTCTTGGAATTTTTGAGAAATTTTCTTGAAAATCATCATGTGAATCGATTTTTTTTTAGAAATTGTGTTTCAAGCTGAACTCTTTATGTGCATTGCTTCTTGCCATTTCTTTGAGTTTAATGAGTTTTTAATCAGCTTGAAATACCTTCTTTTAAAGAAGAATCAATTGGTGCTGCTCATGAACTTAGTGAATTTTTGAAAAACTTTTGTTGTTCTCTTGCTTTGGTGCTTACAATGGTTTGAGAAAATGCAGGATGGGAGGAACAAAAAGACAAGCAGCCATGGAGAAATCTAAAAAAGAGAAATCAGAGGAGCAGATTTTGCCTTTTGGGCACAAAGTTTTCGAGAAACAGAAAAGGAGGAGAAAGCCAAAGGATTCAGCTGAGAAGAAAACAAAGAAGATTGCTGCACCAAAGAAAACAAAGGCCTCCACTTCAAAAACTTCTGGTACAGAGCTGGCATTGGTTGAGGTCGTTCACAGAGCAGGAAAAGAGGTGGTTGTGGCTGAGGATGAAGAAGGAACAGAGAGTGACCCTGAAACAGCATTGAAGCGGGCCAAGAAAGCAAAGCCAGGTTCTGAGGAAAGAGAGCCAACTTTTGATGATTACTTTGACATGTTCAGAGATGCAAAAGTGCAGCAAACCAAGTTCCCTGATATGGAACTGCTGAGGAAGATGGGTATTCTTGAAGAGGTTCAGCTCATTTTCAATAACATGGGGTTTGGTGGATTCTTTGAGATGAAAGATGTGGCTCATGATGGTGTTACACAGGAATTTCTTGCATCCCTTCAAGTTTGTGGATATGGCCCAAGAGATGCAAGAATCAAAGAGGGCAATGGTCTTGGGCACATAGAGTTCAAAATAGATGGTGCACAACACCATGTAAGCTTCAAAGAACTTGATGAGATCTTTGCTTTTACAAGACCTGCACAAGAAGAGACAGTGAAGTTCACATACCCTGATCACATGATCACTGACTTGTGGGATACAATTGCTTTTGGGAGCTTCAGAGGAGGAAGATGCAAGAGTTCATGGATAAGAAACCCAGCAATCCGCTATGCTCACAAGGTGCTTTGCCAAATGTTCTTTACCAAGCACAATGATGGGGTGGTGCATCTAGCTGACATGGAGCTATTGGGTATGGGTCTTCATCCTCTCATCAGTCACTTGAAGAGCAAGAGAGAGTTTCACCTTCCACATTACATCCCTTCTAGTGGTGCATTCTTGGCACGCCAAATGCTGATTTACAAGGACATTGCTTGGAGTGAGGGTAAAAGAAAGAAGCTCACTAAGTTGCACAATGGATGGCTAGTGACAAAAATTCTGAAAGCAAGAGGTTTTGTCTTTGATAATGCTGCAGTCAGACCTGGGTTGATTGATGAAGTTACCCTCACCAAGGTTGGGTTTCTAAAAGAAAGCAATGGTGTACACTTCTTGTACACTTTCAAGCTCTTGCAGGATGAAAAAGTTCATGTTCTGTTGCCAAACCCAGCCATCACCACTCTCACAGAAAGGCACAATGTCTCCTTTATTGTCCTCAAGGATCAGCTCTACAACTCAGCCATTCACCCTCCAATTCCCAAATGTAAGAAGCCAATTAATTCTAAGGGTAAAGAGCCAGCTGACGAGGAAGACACAACTAGGACCACTGGTTGTGAGCATGAGGAGCCAAGAGATTTTGAAAGAAGGATGGGAGCAGGAAGGTATCACTTTGATCCTTACTTTTGGGGTGAGCCTGACTATCACACAAGGAAGCTGTATTCCAGAGTTAACACCCTTCAGAAATGGTGCAAATGGCAAGACAAAACGATCCACAGGCTGGTTGACTGTGTTAGGAAGCTTAAGAAGAAGGTTAAAAAGCTCACAGCTCCAGCCACCTCACCCAAACGAGATACAAACGAAGAGGTGGGAGAAAGCACAGCTGCCAATGACTTTGCGCTACCTCCAGGAAAAGAAGATTGGGTGAATCCGGCCACAGCATTCCAACCAGACTCACCTGAGAGCAGCCCACCCAGATATTCCACCCCATCATGTTCAACCTCCAATCCATCCCATTACTTGGGATCAGACCTCAGTGATTGAGGTAAACACTCAAAACCTTGTAAATAGCATGTAGACTTTCTTTTTCTTTTGCATTTTGCCTGTTTGCTTTGGTTTCACTTCTTTCTCATACTTTTATAACACAAGGGACTGTGTTATTTAAGTGTGGGGGGGAGTTTCATCCTTTACTAATCATGTTTTCTATTTTCCTATTTTACACTTTGAGTCTTGAGTCACATTCTAGTTGCATATTCATGTAATCTCATCTAAGTGCATATAAAAACAAAAAAAAAAAAAAAATGATCATGTAGTTGCATTCTCATTTTTTAGGATTGAGTCTAGATTGCATTTGCATATAGGTTGCATCTTGCAGGGAGTAATGATAGGTTTTCTAGAGAGTATATCACTTTGAGAACTTGAATTGAATATGCTTGTGAATCTTTTTCTGTGCTTGCAAAGTCTGAAATGATTTGAATCTGAGAAGCAAGTTTGAATTGAACTCAACTCTAATTAAGTGGGAACCTTGAACTTGACTTGAAAATATCTTGTGATGCATTGTTTGAAAAAAGCTTGTGGATACCAATATACATACTTGAGCTAGAACCATCGTTTTTACCAATCTTTTCCTTAGCTCAAGTAGCTGAATCCACGTCATGGATCAGTTCACATACCTTAAACCCATCCTTCTTTCAAGCCAATGTTTGTGTGTGAATTGAAAGGCCACCTTGGATCAAACTTAGCAGAAAGTGTTAGGTTTAGAGCGACAAGGGCAGGTCTCATTGGGAGCTGTGTTCCAACATCTAGGAACTGAGAGTTTTGGCGAGGAATAAGTGTGGGGGAAAAGACTTTTTGGTGAGTGGAAAAAGGTGAGATGAGTGGGAAAGAGAGAGTGAAAATAGCTAGGGGAATGAAAGAAAAAGAAATCAGTCTTGGTGTTTTGAGAAAGTGAGCTCTGGTTTGTTGAAAAGAAAGAGTCTAGCCTCTAAGTAAAAAAAAAAGGAAGAAAAGAAGCCGAAAGGCTCAAATGTTTTGTTAAGAAAGAAAGAAGAGGCTAGAAGTTGTAAAAGAAGAAGAGCTGTGTAAAGTTTGAGTTCCAAGACTTGAGAGGAAATGTGAAAAGTAAATCCCCTAGTGAGAGGAAAATGAGAGTGAAAAGTGAGGATTTTTGAGCAAGTGAGGAAGCTTTGAGTAGAGGGTGGGGAGTGATGAGTCTTTGCCCTTGTATGCATAGGTTGCTTTTTACCTTTAGCATTCTGCCAAAGTTTGATCATTCATAGAGAGATCCCTTTGCTGCATTTAACCCACTTGAACACTGATGAGATCATTTTAATCTCATAGCCTCTCCCTAGCCGAGCCAGCTTGTTTAAACCTTGCATCATGAGATCCACCTGATAAAGGCTTAATGAATGTGAAAGAGTTGAGAGAGAGAAGAACTTGTGGAGATTCCTTGCTGAGTTGACATATATCTGAGTATGACTTTGCATTGCATAATTGAGCATGAACTTGAATTCTCATTGTGATCACTTCTCTCAAAAAGAAAATGTGAACTCCCATTGCATACAACCTCTTTCTCTCATTTGTTCTTTTTGCTTGAGGACAAGCAAAGGACAAGTGTGGGGGAGTTGATATGTTCATAATTTGCATCATTTAGGTTGCATAAATTATCCCAAATCATGTTTTATTTCATGCATTTTAGGTCCTTAGGGTTTATTTTAGAACTTAGGAGATGCATTAGGTCCAAATGAGTCTTTGCATATTTTGAGTGTCTGTCAGGTGAATATGGAACTGAAAAGATGAATCCAGGAGGTGGAATGGTGAGCAAAGCTTGAAAAAGTGGAAAAATCAGGTCTTGGGAGATTATCGGCCATTCTCGCTGGCCAGGAAGGTTTTACCGGCCATTTTCATGTACCGCGGTAAGCTTTACCGGCCATTTTCACGTACCGCGAATGAAGTGTATCGGCCAAAATCTCCAGGTGTGAACGAGTCTCAGAAATCGCCCGTCCGGGGAGCCTTCCGGTCCTATTCAGACGGCGGGTCCTTCATAGAAGTTGGAGAGCATTGGAGGACGGTCTCATAGCAATTGGAATCGTGGAATTCGGACGCGTGAGCAGAGAGATAAGCTCGTCGGAAGAAACCCCTGTCTCGCAGGTATTCCGGACCGAGCAGATCAGTTCTGAAGGATGCGAAGGACGGTGCACTTCCAGACCGATTCAGTTTCCGCGGCCTTCATGAGAATCAGAGACATTTGAGTCTTCTTTCCAGAACAACCGAGATCAGTCAATTCGGAGCTTTGAGCAGAAAGATACGGTCTCCGGAATGGACACATGTCTAGACGCTTCTCTCTGGTCGTGTAAATGCACTTCAAAGATGTTCCCTCCAGGAAACCTTACACTTCCCAAGCACTGAAACTTCCTTCATCAAAGTTGGAGATAAATGAGTCCTCTGTCTTCTGAAACCGGAATCACTCAATTCGGACAGGTCTCCAGGAAGTTACACTCTCCGGAATGCGAGATGGTCCAGACAGCCCAGGATGACTAAGTTAAACATGCCACGGTATGAAGCTTGGCCGTGGCAACATCTTGCAACCTTCGGCGATTGGCACGAGCTGAATGCCACGGTCTAGGACTTGACCGTGGCAAATGAACAAGAGGCTGGAGATAACTTCTACACAGTTTCGGCTTTTGACACGATCTCAATGCCACGGCCTGAGACTTGGCCGTGGCAAGCATATACTTGGCTGGGAAGGTACTCACATGCATGCGAGTTTTGGCACGGTGTGAATGCCACGGTCTGGAGGCTTGACCGTGGCAACCTCTACACATCTTCGGCGTTTGACACGGCTAACTTGCCACGAGTCCCAGATGAAGCTTGATCAGACCGCGGCAACAAAAGGAACCAAGAACACAAGTAAAAACTTTGACATGGTCAGGAATGCCACGGTCACACCAAGGATGCACCAGACCGTGGCAAACCCTTCTTTGCCCATCAAGGCTGGGTCAGTACCCGGTTTGTTCCGGGTTGACCCGGTTCGCCCAAGCTTCTTTTATAAGGTTTTTAGACCTAATTTGTGAGGAGACTTAATCTACTTTTAGTCTTTTTTTTCCCCCTTTTGTGAAAACCACTTAATACACTTTGTTTTAGAGAGTTTAAATCGATTTGCAGTTTCTTTCCATCTTGTTCATCATTTCTATTCATCAAAATCAACTTCTAATCATGATTAACAACACATCTTGCAAAGGATCTAGTGTGTTGATCATGATTAGTGAGTAGTTACCTTAATGAGGTTCTAGATGTGTAGGTTAGGGTGCTAAAGTGTTAGATTAGGAGTGCTTAGGGCTAGATTCATTGGTTCATTTCTCTAAACAACTATTCTCTATGCTAGATCCTTGATAATCACTTGAGATCTAGATTCTGGGAATTTCATGCACCAAAAGTGTTTGATGAAATTCCTGAAAGAGTTGTGTTAGAGGTTTAAGTAATTTTTCATCATGGGAATGATTTGTTAAATGCTTGAATGATCATTGAGAACTGTTTATTAATGCATATTGATTCATATTTCACAAATGGGAATTTGGTTTGAAAATGGATTAGTATAGGGGTTAATACCTTCATGAGAGGATTAACATAGATTAGAGTTCTTAATCACTTGAATCATGTCACATCATTGTCATTAGCATTCCTAGTTTAACACCAAAGCACCCTAACCATCTATCATGTCTAGAATCTCATGCCTCCATCATATCTTATTCACACCATTTGTCATTGTCATTAGTTTTTAATCCTGTTTATGTTTATATTTGTCTCTAGATTAATCAAAACCCACTCTTGTTTGCTTGAATTAAGAACTTGATCATATAGCTTAGTGTCTAACACCATATCTGGATTGATAAACCTCTTTGTGCTACATTGACAAGGGGATTGATAGCCCTGAGACCCTAAAAGTCTTGTCTATCACGATTACAGGAAGCTGAATGCAGCGACCAGGAAATATCACTTTCCATTGCCCTTTATTGATCAGATGCTGGAGAGACTTGCAAGCCATCCCTACTACTGCTTCCTCGATGGGTACTCAGGATTTTTCCAGATCCCTATCCACCCAGACGATCAGGAGAAGACCACCTTTACATGTCCATACGGCACTTTCGCATATCGCAGGATGCCCTTTGGACTCTGTAATGCTCCTGCGACGTTTCAGAGATGTATGATGTCCATCTTCACTGACATGATTGAGGATTTCATGGAGGTCTTTATGGATGATTTCTCAGTCTACGGATCATCTTTTAAGGACTGTCTGGATAATCTCTGCAAGGTTCTAGCTCGCTGTGAAGAGAAACACTTGGTCCTTAACTGGGAAAAGTGTCACTTTATGGTCAGAGATGGGATTGTGCTTGGACACAAGGTTTCTGCAGCTGGTATCGAAGTGGACCGTGCGAAGATCGACGTCATGACGAGCTTGCCACCACCCGATTCTGCGAAATCGGTTAGAAGTTTTCTGGGTCATGCAGGCTTCTATCGTCGCTTCATCAAAGATTTCAGCAAGATTGCACGCCCTCTTACTGCTCTGCTCTGCAAAGATGCTAAGTTTGAGTTTACAGATGAGTGCCTTGCTGCGTTCGAACAGATCAAGCATGCCCTGATAAGCGCCCCCATTGTGCAGCCTCCTGACTGGAATTTGCCTTTTGAGGTGTTGTGTGATGCTAGTGATTTTTCTGTTGGTGCTGTTCTAGGACAGAAGAAGGATAAAAAGCTTCATGCCATCTACTATGCCAGTCGAACTTTGGATGATGCTCAAAGGAATTATGCTACTACTGAGAAAGAGCTGTTGGTTGTGGTCTTTGCTTTTGAGAAATTTCGGCCATACCTTGTGGGATCGAAAGTGATTGTGCACACAGACCATTCTGCACTCAAATACTTGATGCAGAAGAAGGATGCGAAGCCTAGGTTGCTGCGATGGGTGTTACTCCTTCAGGAATTCGATATTGAGGTCAAGGACAAGAAGGGTGTTGAGAATAGTGTGGCAGATCATCTCTCACGCATCAGGGTTGAAGACGACGTACCCATAGACGATTTCCTGCCAGAAGAGAATGTGTATTATGTGGAAACCAAGTCCCAGAGCAGTTTTGACGAAGAATTGCAGGTTTTTTGAGTTGGAGGAACGTTAGTGACGAGCGACACCACCACTAGTGTCGCGCGTCACCTTTCTCAGGCGAACACAGAGACCTCCCAAATTCGAAACAGACTTCCTGAGACCAGTTCAGCTGCTGTATCCGCTACCCAACGCCCTTGGTATGCCGATATTGCCAATTATCTCGCTGCAGAGGCTGAGCCTGAGAACTTTAAGGGCTATGCAAAGAAGAAGTTCCTGAGAGAGCTGCGAAGATACCACTGGGATGAGCCATATCTGTACAAGCACTGTTCTGATGGGATTTACAGAAGATGCATTGCAGAGTCAGAAGTTCCAGAAGTGCTGTTTCATTGTCATGGATCCGAATATGCTGGACACTTTGCAACATTCAAAACAGTGTCTAAGGTTCTTCAAGCAGGCTTCTGGTGGCCCACCATGTTTCGCGACGCACATGCATTCATCTCGCAGTGCGATGCTTGTCAGAGGAGAGGAAAGATCAGCAAACGACATGAGATGCCACAGAATTTCATCCTTGAGGTTGAGGTATTCGACTGCTGGGGTATCGATTTCATGGGTCCTTTTCCCTCTTCTTATGGGAACAAGTACATCCTGGTTGCTGTTGATTATGTCTCAAAGTGGGTCGAAGCCATTGCCAGTCCCACCAACGACTCTTCAGTGGTCCTTAAGATGTTCAAGACCATCATCTTTCCTTGATTTGGAGTGCCTCGAATTGTTATAAGTGATGGTGGTACTCACTTTATTAACAAGATTTTCGAAAACTCCTAAGGAAGCATGGAGTTCATCATCGAGTTGCCACTCCTTATCACCCTCAGACGAGTGGACAGGTCGAAGTCTCGAATCGTCAGATCAAAGAGATTCTGGAGAAGGCAGTGGGAAAAACTCGAAAGGATTGGGCTGCGAAGTTGGACGATGCACTCTGGGCGTACAGGACAGCGTTCAAAACACCTCTAGGCACCACACCTTTCCACCTGCTCTATGGAAAGCCCTGTCACCTTCCAGTGGAGATTGAACACAAAGCAGCCTGGGCGATAAAGCTGATGAATTTCGACATCAAGTCTGCTGCAGAGAGGAGACTGATACAACTGAATGAGTTGGACGAAATCAGGTACCATGCCTATGAGAATTCGAAGTTGTACAAAGAGAGGACCAAGGCGTATCACGATTCCGAAATCCTCTCCAGGCAACTCGAACCGAATGATCAGGTACTTCTGTATAATTCTCGTTTGCAATTGTTTCCTGGTAAACTTCGTTCTCGATGGTCAGGTCCTTTCATAGTCAAAGAGGTTCGCCCCTATGGTGCTATCGTCCTCCTCACACCAGATGGTAGCAGGGAGTTCACAGTCAATGGACAAAGGGTGAAGCACTACTGGGCCAAAGCTGAGATTCCGGATGGACATATCGTGCCTCTGGATGGTGCACCTCCTGCTTGAATCGCCATCAAGTCAAGCTAATGACTTAAAACAAGCGCTTGGTGGAAGGCAATCCACTGGTGAGTCTGTAAATAAGTCTTTTGTTTCAGTGATTTTCGTTTTTCTTTTCGTGTTTTAGGTGAAGCAGAGGCTGGTGTCGAGCGACACTACCTTCGGTGTCGCTTGTCACTTGTTTTCTCTATATATAAAAACAAAAAAAAAAACAAAAAACAAAAAAATTAGGAAATCAGGAAACCGGAGTCAAACCAGAAATTCGGATTGGTCTGCTGCAATTCGGTACGAGGAAAACAAGTGTCGCACGATACCATCATCAGTGTCGCGCGTCACCATCATTGCAGCCAGGTAAGTTATCTGTTTTTCCTGTGTTTCTCTGTTTCTTTTCTTTTGTCACCAACTTCGGATTTGATTACACTGGGGACAGTGTTATTCAAGTCTGGGGGAGGTAGTTGCTGACATTGTGTTTGTTTTTCTTAAGAGTCAGTTGTGTCAAAACGTTTTTGAGTCAAAACCTGTTGGAGATCATGATGCTTTTCCTGGAATTATTGTGCTGACTTTTCACCTAAGTGACCACTGCTGCAAATTCAGACTAGATCCGACTAATGAAAAATCCAAAGGCTGACCAGTTGACTAGAGGCGTCCATGTTTCCAACAGAATCCACTAACCTGAGCTAAGTACTGAACTTCACTTTTAACTCGCTGATGTGACTAATGCCTTAGAGCTTGATTCCTCATTCGTACTTGATCAATGAAAGCCTGTGTGAAATTTAATGAAGTGATTTCTCTCCCTTGTGACGAGCTAAGAAAGAAAGAAAAAGGGCAAAAAGATTGAGATGATTTTCGCTTAGGAGTGAAGGGCTAGGAATGTTTCCAATGATCCCATTATTTCACTTCTAAGTTGGAATGATCACACAAAGGAAGGAAGTGAGGGGTAGGAATGTTTCCCATGACCCCACTATTCGCTGAAAACCTTTGATACAAGGTAAGGGGACAACTTGGGGACTTGGTGGCAAACACCATCAGTACTCGCAGCTTTACCCTTATCGAGTATATGCCATAAAAAATGATGATGAGTGTGCGAAAAGAATAAGTCTGGGGGAGAGAAAAGTACCAATGTTTGTATGGCTGATTTCTTTGAGTACAGAATGGGAAAGAATCTAGAAGGTTCTGGGCATTGGAATCATCAGTGAGATCCAGCGATGAGGGTTTATGGACAATGTTGTGAAATTTTGGATTTAGTCTGGAAAGCTGTGAATGTCTGCGGAGAAGTACATGGTGGTTCGATTTGGAATGATGAAGCAGTAGTTAAGTTGCAGGGTGAACGGTCAAAGCGATGTTCCAATGAAAGGTTGAGTCTCTGTGTTTTCAAACTTCTTTCTCCTGTTTGGTGTTCTGTTTGCTTGAGGGCAAGCAAATGCTAAGTCTGGGGGAGTTGATATATCATGGTTTTTATGGTTTTTAACCATGGTATATGTCTTATTTATAGAGTCTTTTTAGTGTCTTTCGAGTCTTTTGGAGTCTTTTCAGGTCATAGGTACGTTTGGAGCTTAACTGGAGACTTTGGAGCACTTTGGAGCTTAATCAGGATCAAATTCGTCAAGTATGGATTTTGTGCTTTAGTGACGCTCGACACCATGGAGAGTGACGCGCGACACTTGTTAGAGAAATAAGGAAAAGGCGATTTTGTTTCCTATTTGAAGAAGGAGTTGGGCCCAAACGTTTTCAAGGAAGCCCAAAACGTGTCTTAGAGATATATATAGGATTTTTATTCCCTTTTTACGTTAACCTTAGATTTTCTTAGAGAGAGTTTTTGTTTTTGAGAGTTTTTGGGGAGACAAGTCTGAAACTCTGTTCCGGAGAGAGAAGATTTCGAACCCCTGTTTATTAATCTATTTACTGCTTACTGCAAGTTATTCAATCATGCTTATTGCTTCAATCTCCATGTCTGAGTAGTTTGCTTGTTAGGTTTAGGGTTCTCATAAAGGATTTCATTGGATGTTAGATTGATTGGTTAGTTAGGGTTCATAATCTATTTAGTTCTTCACCATAGGTTGTTCTTAAAGCTAATTCTGGATTGGCCACCTAGAACTTAGATCTTAGGTTGCTTAATTGACACGGAAGTGTAATTGAATAACTGGAAAGAACCTAGGGTGAGCAAAGTAGCTATTCGCAAAGGAATTTGGTTTAGATACTTTGTGAACATATCGAACTTGAGCATTAAAGCTGGTTTAAATCTTTAGGGTTTGCAAAGGAATTTGGAATTCTAGGATTTTGACTTAGATAATTCTCACAACGAAAGTTGGTTAATTATAATTCTGTGATTCGAGTTCAAGAACTGTGCTTAAACCTGACCCTGACTAATCGATTGATCTGTATGCATTGATTTCCTGAGAAACTCCCTAAGCCTAATCTCCATCCATCTGAATCTTACAAACCGTTTTTATTGCTGCTTAGTCTAATTCTGTTGCATTGCTATTTATTTACAATATTTCTGCTTAGCGTAATTCAATCTCTATAAGGTTTATTGAGTGATCTCTTGTCTCTGTGGTTCGACCCCTACATACTACAACTGCACATTTGTGCTCTTGCAGAGTAGCTTAGGGATTAAACTTTGAGCATATCATCTAGGCTTCTTAATCAGATTAATCCACTCTCATGACAGAAATCCCTTTGCAATCACTTAATCAAGTCTAACAACCATTAGATATAACAAGCAACCAACAAGCATAATGTACCAAGCTCAATAAGTGACCAAACAATCTCTACAAAGATATACTGAATCTTATACAGAAAGACATAGCAAGCAATCACATGATCTCAAAACATTTCAACTTAGAACTCTAATCTAGACTAATCCTCTCATGAAGGCATTAACCTCTACACTAATCCATTTTCAAACCACATCATCATTTGTGAAATATAAATCAATGAGCATTAAGAAACAGTTCTAATATGTCATTCATGCATTTAACTATCACTCTCATGATGAAAAAGGCATAAACCCTTATCATCATTTGTGAAATATAAATCAATGAGCATTAAGAAACAGTTCTAATATGTCATTCATACATTTAACTATCACTCTCATGATGAAAAAGGCATAAACCCTTAAATTAGCTCTTTCAGGCATTTCATCAAACACTTTTGGTGCATGAAATGCCTATGATCTAGACCCAAGTGATTCTCAAGGATCTAGCTTTAAGAGCAGCTAACTAAGGAAAGGAAATGAGAATCTAGAACCTAGACATCATAAATCAAGCATCAAAGCACTCTAATCTACACACCTAGAAGCTTAAAAGATGAATAACTCACTAATCATGAAGAACACACCATTTCCTTTACAAGAGGTGATGTTAATCATGATTAGAAGCAAAGATGAGATGATGCAATGATAAGAAACAGCCTTAAGATGATTAAATCAGCAATATATCTCTTAATCAAAAACGTTTTGACACTAAAAAGGAAATAATATTAGAGAGAAACTAAGATAGAAGATCAAATTCGTTAGGGTTTTCTCCCAAAAAGGCATTTATACTAAATTCTAATGAACCGGGTCAGCCCATGACAAACTGGGTCCTGACCCGGCCTTGATGGATAGTGGTGTGGCTTGCCACGGTCAGATTGTCCTTGTCTAGACCGTGGCATTCTAACCGTGTCAAAGATCAAGAGCAGATTCTTCAAGAACAAGGTTGCCACGGCTTGATTTGGACCGTGATGCATTGCCGTGTCTCTTCCTTTCTGGGTTTGGATCATGAGCTGCTTGGTTTGTCACGGCCTTGTCTGGACCGTGTCATGCTGAGCGTGGCAAAGTGTTAAGCATTCGGTGATTGCCACAGCCTGATGATTGGCCGTGGCATCTTAGTCGTGTCAAGGGTCTTTAGTGTTTGCCGCGGTCAAGCATGGACCGTGTCTCAAGACCATGTCAATTCCCGAAGGTTGGCACTCAGAAGTAATAACTTGCTAGAGAATGGTCTGGTGTAGACCGTGGCATTCTCTCCGTGTCAATCACCAAAGGTTGGCAAAGCATTGTCACGGTCAAGTATGGACCGTGGCATTAGGTCCGTGTCAGAGTATGACACTTAGCATAATTTCAACTCTTACACGCCTGATTGACATGTCTGTCTTCCGCCTTCCGGAACTCACAGCTCACAACTCCGAATGACACCAAACCAAGTCCACGAGAAAGATGACTCATCAAGCTCGAACCTTTCTGAAGAAACCTTTGGTGCTCGGGGAGTGGAAGGTTCCCCGGACGGCTCATCTCTGCAGTGCATTGAAACGATCAAAAAGAAGCTCTTGGACAAGTGTTCACTCCGGAGACGGTATCTTTCTGCACATAGCTCCAAACTGTACGTTCTCAGCTTTTCTGAGAAGAGTACTCAAAAACCATGAATCGTGATGAAGGGAAGGGAACTAAATCAGACTGGAAAAGGCATCTTTTCACGCAATCTTTGTAACTTGTTGGATCGGTCTTGAAACTGTAACGAGACAGGTGTGCCTTCCGGTGAGCTTAATTCTCTGCTCACGACTCTAAATAAAATGAATCCACCTGTTCTGGATCCGTGACCTGATCATCTCTAACTTTTTTTAAGACCCTGTAAGCTGAATCGGACGTTAAAACTCCCCGGAAAGGCGATCTTGCAGATGTATCGGATTGCTCCGGAATGGAAGCGAGGCAGGTCTGTCTTCTGGTAGCCGTATCTTTCAACTCGCTGCTCCAAATTCATCGATTCCAACTGTTCTGAAATCTAGACTCAATTATCTTGATCTTTTCTGAAATCCTCGGAGGCTGAATCGGCCGGCTAGACCTTCCGGTAACGTGATTTCGGAGATGTATCCGCACCCGAGATTTTTGGCCGAGAATCTTAACCGCCAGTACGTGTTTTTGGCCGAGAGATCATTTCAACTCCATTTCTTCATCTGAATCACATTCTCCACTCCAAATAGGCTCCAAAAGCACATGTTTAACACTCCAAACTATGCAAAACTCTCTTGGACCTAAT